GTATACAGGGCTATAGGGCTATAGGGCTATAGGGGGCTATAAGGCTATGGGGCTATAGGGTGTAGGGCTATAGGGATATAGGGCTATAAGGCTATAGGGCTACAGGGCCATAAGGCTGTAAGGCTATGGCGCTAGAGGGTTATAGGGCTATTGGGCGATAGGGCTATAGAGCTGTTAGGGCTATAGGCCTATCAGGCTATAAGGCTGTAGGGCTATAGGGATATAGGGCTATAGGGCCATAAGGCTATGGGTCTATAAAGCTATAAGGCTATAAGGCTATAGGGCTATGGGGCTATAGGGCTACCGGGCACCCGGGCACCCGGGCACCCGGGCACCCAGGCCGGCCAACTAAATCGGCGGCGACGCTCACCTAACCAAATGAATCCGCTAGGACCCCTACAGAGGCAAGCTCTGATTGGAATGTACCTGAAGCAATACGGCTCATGACGCAGTCAAGAGGCTAATTTGCGTCCACCTAGAGGCATGCAAACCGATGCTCGCGAACGCTCTCGTCTGAGGGGTGCCTCCCGACCCTGTGGATCAGCAGCGGTCGGCCCTGCAGGGCCGCGTTCGGCCATTTCCAGAGGTCGCGATTCGCTCCTGGCTTGCTGGTGGACGGCAGGGAGGATGACGAGAAACATGAGGAGGAGAAGGAGGAGGAGGGGAAGAGGAGGGGAAGAGAAGGAGGACGAGAAGGAAGACAAAGAGGAGGACGAGGAGGTGGAGGTGGTGGAGGAGGAGGAGGAGGAGGAGGAGGAGGAGGACTTGAAGTTAGCAGCGAGGGCGGACGCCAACGCGCTCGGATAGCTAGCGAGGCGCTCCAGAACCAGGGGCACACAGACGTAACTTGGAGAAGAGGAAGGACGGTCCGGCAAACGCTAACATGGATAAGTAATCCGTGGATCTGGCGCGTGAACGCCAGATCCACGGATCGCGAAGAGTACCGCCCGAACAACGAAGCCAGTGCCAACTGATTTAGCGACGGAGAGCGTCGATTTTGCATGGAAGCGAGACCCGTCGCTAACCCACGCTGCCACAATCCATGTTTGCAAATTCTCGAAATTAACCATCCGAGCCAGTTTATTACTTTGGGAAGAGGAAGACAAGAGGGCAAAGCTCAATTGACTGACAGGCGTCCCACTTGTCAGCGTGTAACTACCCGAGCCTAATAAGTGGAACTCCCCTCCTCCACTGTCGCCCAAGAACTCGACCGCCTCCAACCATCGGATCAGTGCCCGGAGCTCCGATATGTTGATTGTCTGACTGGGCCCAGGAGCATTTCGTGAACGGCCTCGGGGGGGTCTGGGCCGCTCCTAGGCCAGCTGGCTGCAGTCCGAGGCTGGGTGCAGAAACACCCAGGAGTATCGACGCAGGCGGGGATCGGTGCAGCAGACTCCTCCAAAGCCATCTCCTGCATCACAATATTGAGGTCTTGGGCTGAAACTCTTGTGGGCTACATGGTTTGCACATCCAAGACCTGTCGACCAAATCGTCCAGCGGGGATTTGACCTGGGTCCGCTGGAACGGCAAAATGACGCTGCAACCAGAAACGGGGAACCCTGGGTGTGGCCCTCTGCGGCTTAGGAGATAAAATCTAATGTATGATGAAACTCGGGGATGCCAGCCAGCATGTGTGGAGGGCAGCCTGGGGCCTGGAGGAGAAGGGAGGAGGACAGCGGTGAGGAGCTCCTCCTACTCCTCCACTTCCTCCTCCTCAAACTCCTGATTGACATGATCATCATCATCATCATCATCATCATCATCATCATCATCATCATCATCATCATCATCACCATCAGCAGCAGCATCACAATCGTCATCATCGTCGTCATCGTCATCAGCAGCAGCATCACAATCGTCATCATCGTCATCATCATCAGCATCAGCATCAGCATCAGCATCAGTATCAGCAGCAGCATCACCATCGTCTTCAATATCATTATCGTCCTTATCATTAGCAACAACCTGATCGTCAAAATCAAGCCCATCATGAATGACCATCAACATCGTCATCATCATCATCCTCATCATCATAATCACCGTCATCATGATCATCATGATCATCATCATCATCATCATCATCAGCATCATCATCATCAACATCGTCATCAGTAGCAGCAGGATCCTGATGATCATGATCACCGTCAGTATCGTCATCACCATGGGCAGCATGATCGTCATAAGCATCGTCATCATCCACACTATCTTCACCATCATCATCAGCATCATCATCATCCTCATCATCACGGGCATCATCATCATCATCATCATCATCATCATCATCATCATCATCCTAATCATCATCATTACCATCATCATCATCCGTCTCCTCCTCGTCCTCCTCCCCATCATGATTGCAACAGGTATCATCATCACCATCGTCTACCTCTTCGTCATCATCATCATCATCATCATCAGCAGCAGCAGCAGCATCAGCATCATCATCACGGCATCCTCATCATCATCAGCAGCAACATCAGCCTCAGCATCTTCTGTTTCA